GACAAGAGCTTCTCCTCTGTGGAGAGATTGAAAGGAATATCTTGAAAATGTAAGGAAAGAAAACCCACCAGGTAAAACAAGTCCTGGAAGCTTTAGCTGTGGTGTCAGGGCTTGCAACAGAGAGTGATGGTGGCTCTTATCAGTGCTGGCAGGTGTAGGAGGTGTGAGCAGCCTTGCAGGCAGACTATCCAGGTCACTGCATCCAGGTGTGTTCATTGGCTCTGGCCTCACTCCTGGAAAAAGGTAAGACCCAAGTGTGCATGTCCTGCTTGCTGCACCTTTCCCCAGATCAGGGCCAGAGTTATGGAACGTCCTGGCCTGATCCAGGGGTGCCAGGGCTAGTGAGGGGTTGCAGCTGGTGCTTGGGGTGGGTGCAGCTGTGAAGGACTGAGGGTGATGCTGGCGAGTGAGCAGCTGAGACTAGAAAGAATCAGAGGGCTGTGCTGGAAGCAAATGTAAGGTAGAAGATCAATTTTCTTTTTATATTCTCACAAGTGCTGTTTGGAGACCTAGAGAAAAAGGCTAAACTGCCCTGGGACTAAAGGATGAGTTTCCTATCTGAGGAAAATAGCAAGGGAAGGATAAAGCCCTTGTTATGAGAATAGCCAAATGTATTCCTTTGATCTAACTGGGTTTAAACCTCATTCATATGTTTATTAGCTTCCTCTTATCTGAGCCATATGCCTTCTTGCAGCTGCATTTCCCTTATCGCACAGCCGTGGAAAAGACTCAAAATACCTAAAAATCATGTCACTCTTTCAAATGCTTCATAAAATCCCAGCTGTCACCCGTATCAATGTCATAAATGATCACTCATCAATGTCTGTGACTGCCTTAAGTCCTCCTTGCTTTCCCCTTGATTTTCCACTCCTTTCTCCTCCCAGTCTTCCCTTCACCCCTGTCGCCCTTCTCCTCTGACCACCTCCTGCTGAACCATCCCCTTCTGGGGATCCCTTGGGCTCTTCTTTCCTCTGTCCCTGCCCAGTTCACCAAGTGAACAGTAGCTTTAAAACCTACTGTGGTGCGGAAGTGCCTTCATGGTGAGTCTCTGGCACCTCTACAAACCCAGCTGCTCCAGACTCTTCCCAGGAGAAGAAATTTCCCCATTGTTATGCCAAGTGAATACCAAAGAGCTGACTGCCATGGGACGTCAGGCATTAGGGTTGAATGCTCACAAAGTTCCAAAAAATGAAGCAACCTTCAGCAAAATGTAGGCTGTCAGAGACTGGAGCTCTGGTTTGTCTCTCCTATGCCTATTTGGGAGAGATTTTTGCATGGTACATCCCCCTGTGGGAAGGTGGAGGTGTATGTTGGTGCCCTAAAGCACACTTGTAATGATATGACCTCTGTCCAGTCTCCTCCTAAGGCTGCCACTTGGCTGTGTCTAGGCTGAGGGAAATTTCACATAGAAAATACCTTTCCCACATGTGACAGCTCAAGTGCATTTTCTGCTTGGTGGTAACCTGTAAAAGTAGGACATGAGACACCACGATACTTGTGCTGAGCCTGTGAGAAGATGATAACCTAGGGCTGAGGCAGTATACAAAGGAGCTGGACAGCCAGGTTGAGTCTGAGCTGGTATGAAAACCTCACCCATATTGTGTCTTGTGGAGCATATGGACATGTTCTGAGGCTCTGCTTGACCCCACAGCTTGGCAGGTGGCAGGACCCATAGCTGTGGAGCAGCATCTGAGCACCCCAGTAAGCATGAGCTGAGGACAGGACCCGTCTCTTCTTTCCTTGCATAAATTGCACGTCTCCTGGCCCAAGGTGCTTGTCACAACATTCTGACTGAGGCTGTCCTCACAAGACAAAGCACCAAGCCCAGGCTCTGCGTGCCAACACAGGGCACAATGAAAAATCCACATGGAATAGGTGTTGGAGCCTTTTTGAAGGTACCCTGCATGGAAGTAGTGTTTGGTCACCAGTAGCTGCAATTACAGGCCTCCACCTGCCTGTAGCCCTTCTCTTTGATTTGTTTTCCTTAAGGGAGGTTCATACTCTGCTGGCATCTCACATGGCCCCAGCTGAGGGAGCTGTGGCTTGCAGGAAGCCCTGATGTTGGTAGGGCTCTTCTCTGCCCACAAGGCTAGGATGTCCCAGGTGGCATCTCACACCAAGCAACATGGCAGAGGAGTCAGGGGGGTTTAGTTTTGTTTTGTTTGGGTTTTTTTATTGTTGTGCCAAATTTCACTGATGGAATTGCCCAAGACATGCAGAATTACAGCTTTCTTCATGAGGTAATTAGCAAAGTGATCCACTGGCTCAAGAAGAGACTCCTGGATTATTCTGTATTGCTAAAGTTTCATTTCTGCTCTGCTAACCAGGGAAAATACTTGACAGGGAATAAAGGAGGAAGAGGACAAGGGCACACATACAAGACAGACTGACACAAGCTCCCATGTACTTCTTTATAGGGCAGAAACTGCCCAGCTTTGCCAAGTCCCTCAACCTTCCCTGAGCAGTGTGTTAATGAAGGAAAACAAGTGTGATGGTACAGGGAGAACAGCAAGGTGTGGCTGGAGCACAGGTATCATTCTCATGGCTATGCTCAGCCAAGGGCTGCTACAAAGGACAATGTGGCAGGAAAGTGTAAACAGGCTTAGACCAGAGTTCTGCATCAACAGAGCTACTTCTAAACACTTTTTCTTATGCTAAAACTTAATTAAAACAAAAATAAAGAACAAAGTTGGGTTCATGTTAGATAGACTGCTTAGGACCCTTGATGTTAAGCTGGTGTTTGGTCCATCCTCCAACCCCATTGAACCTGACATTTGAGTTCACCCTCTTGCCCACTCTGACAAGGGAAGGAAGCCAGATGCACACAGCATGGTTACAACAGCAGGATTATTGTCCTGCTCCAGGCATGTTGAGATGTTGCTGCATGGATGTTTGACAAATAATCCAATGAGCCCAGATCACATGAGTTGTTTCACCTAGCAGTCCTTTTTAACACCTTCCCTTTCCCAAATAACCAACCTGCCTCTATTTAATTTTCACCCACAGGGTGATTTGTTTTGTTGATTTGACCTCAGTGACAGCCAATAAATCAGCACTTCCCTATCTCTTGGGGTTTCACCCAAAGGGAGTTTTCAATGTTCCCGTTTCACTTGCTGAAATGCCTGGTAGTCTTTTCCAGTTCCTGTTGGATTACTGCACATCCCAGGTGTGGCTGGCCAGCTGCTTTCCCTCTTCTGTGCAATAGTTGGTGCTTTTCCACACTGTTCTCCTGTTAGTTCAGCCTATGGGCTGATCACCTGTGCACAAACCTTAACAGCTGAGACTTCCTTCTAAAGACTGTGAAACATAAACCCTTTATGGCTGTATTTATGCTTCCTGCTTTCAAAAAGTGGTGGTTTCAGTTCTCTATTCTACCAAAACACTAAGGCTGAGTGAAAGGAAAAAAAAGCAAAGTACTGAATCCTGTGAACTCTGTGTGTAGAGTGCCAGTGTCTCCCAAGCTGTTCAGCTGGTATTAACAGTACACCCAGCTTCAAGGTTTCACACATTTGCAACTATTCTGGGCTAAAAAATACTGCTTTCAAACCCAGACCAGACTTCATAATAAATATCTGGTGCTCATCGGAAGAAGTAATGCTTTCTCAGACGCTGTCAGCTCTAAGCTTTCATCAACTCAGCAGCTGGGCAATTTGCTTTTTATGCTTTCTGTGGCCTCACTTGCTCCCTGTGCCCTGTGGTTGCTGTGGGACCAATTGTACATCACTTGACAGAGAGATCGCCAGGGCTCTTGGGCAGATGAATCCATTTGTTTTGATTGTTGGTCTTGAAGACAGCAAAAGGGAAACCACTCTCTCTGGACTTTGTGCCTATGTCTGGAGCAACCTGGAATGTTGCTTTACTTTCTAATGTATTTGGGTACAAGCACTGCATAAAGAGTTGGCAGAGCTGGGTGGGGTCGTATGGGAGCAGATGGCAGAGCAGGAATCTTTGAAAGCTGAGCTTAAACCTGAGGGAAGCAGAAGAGAAAAAAGACACAGGATGGGACACAAAGGGAAGAAAGACTAGAAATAGGGACCATGCCAAAAGGGCCTGCAAGGAAGTTAGACACAGAGAGAAGGGACAACGATTTGAATTTTTGTAGATCACATGGGAAGAAAGACTTTAATTCTCTACAATTGACTGTTGCCAGTGGCAGGTTCTGGAAGTGCATGGATCTTCTTGCTTTCCTTCATAGGAAGATGGAGTTTTGAGGGTCAAATCTTGCAAAACCTCTATGTGAGGGAGATGTCTAGCAATTAAATGCTGACATCAGGCAAGAGACTGCCTTCAGGCACTGAGCTCCCACCTGAATCACTGCTTTGACACTGTGACAGCTCTAGGGAATGGACAAAGTGTGGCCTCAATTTAGAATTACCGTGTATAACCACCTAGCAAGTGTGGTGTATTTGCTTCTGCAAGCCACAGGCAGAGCCATAAATAAGGATTTTTGCCTGAGTACATGGGCTATGAGCAGTGAAAATCCACCACCACCTGGGTCTTTCCCTGTGTGACACAGCCTTTTGAGTCTCCTTCTCCCACGGCATGAGCTGCACTCAACTGTTTGTGCAGAAGCCAAAATCTCATTTTTTTGTGCAGACAAATCCTGTAATTTATTCCCCCTATTTCTGATTTAAGACTTACAAAAGCACTCAACACTCAAACACACCATTACTAAATAGCTAGGAACTGGGCTTCAAAGCTAGTGGTGGTGCCTAAGTGAGGTGGCACTGGGTTATGAGAGGGCTGGTGCTCCCTCACACAATAATGCAAACACCCAATCCTTTGTGGCTCTCACTGCTAGTTTGCCTAAAATACCTGCATTAGCCCGAGTGTCACCATGCCCACAGCACATCTGCTGTTATAGAACTCTATCATGTCTAACAAATCTGTATAATGTGAGTATAGTCTCCTCTATAAGGAGAAATCTCACCTGTCTGAAGCTGACCGTGTCACGAGTGGATAATCTGACATTTCAATTTCCCTTTATCCTCCACCTAGGAAGGGAGAGAAAGCAAAAGTTCCTCAACACCAGATTTCCTGTGACAGAAAATGTACACCTATTTTTTATGTACTCAGACATTACAGTGTGTGAAGAAAAACACAAAAGAAGCAACAGTTTTCCTTTCATGAAAAAGAAATCCAGGAATAAGTGTGGTCAGACAAGACAATGAAGGTGAGATAAAACACTGAATAGCTATATTAAGCAAGCTCCTACTTTGTTCAGTGTACATATGGGTCCCACTGGAAAAAGCAAAACAAAAAGCAAGTGGAAAGCTGTAATTCAATACACTGTTTGAAAAAATGACCCCAGATGTAATGTTTCCTAGCATCCAGATAGTTCAACCAATATTACAAGACCATTAATGTCATAGCTGTGTTTTATTTTACTCATAATCCAAGAAAAGGGAAGGAGAAAAGAGATTTGTCGCAGGTGTGTTCGGTAGAAATTCTCTACAAAGGTGAATGGCTGATATGCCAGGAGATGGTCAGGCTTAAATTTGTAACACTCCCTCTAGAAATGCAGGGCTGGATAATGCCTGCACTGCCAACACCATGCAGCATGCTACACATTTGGCACAACAGGTAAAAGAAAGATTGTATGTAAAGTGATGCAGCTGAAGCAACAGTGGAACAGCATTTTGGAAACTGCTTTCAGTGTAGGAAATCATAGGATTTGAGTGACAGGACTGGATCAACAGAAGGGCTTGGGGAAGAGGCATGGAGAAGTTCCGTGTTTGGGTCTGGTTTGTTTGTTCATCCCTTTCCCCCTCTGTTCAGTCAGCAGCACACAAGGCAATCTGTCATACAACAGATTCTGCCTACAGTCTGGGTGGGATTGCTAAGGGAATGAGGTTCTTCCTCCTGGTCTGATGACTGAGCAGAAAAGGAAAAGAAAGAAGTACTTTAATCTGAAAGGAAAAGTTCAGCTTTGTGGGTTCCTGACAAGACAGTTTGGTATGAAAAATAATCCTGTTGTGAGGAAACTTTTAATCACTCCTTTCTTCATTAAGTGTTAACAACAGATTAGTACAATTATAAATTTGATATTTTAAAATTAATGGAATTGAAAAATAAATGCTATTATATAATATAGTATATTATAGTATTATAGTATATTATAGTATTATAGTATATTATATATACTATTCAAAGAAACCATTTCTGATAAAACATGTTCTTAATCCTATTTTTTCTAGCCACTTAATTTGACCAAAACTCATTGATGAAATTCTCCTGAGGCATCTTTGAATGCTGGAAGGGCTATGTAAGGTATCAAATAGCAGTGACCACCTTCAGTCCTACAGTATTGGCCCACCTGACTCAACAAATGAGTGCCTCTTCTCTGGATACAAACACCTCTTTTTCCCCTTTTGCAGAAAGAGCATGGAAACACATTAACTGAGCATGGCCACACTTGAGGCAGGGTGTTGTCACCAGTCTCATATCTTCTTCCAGCTTGCAATTGCACCAGTGTTAGCAGGTATCATCCAAGTCTTACCTGAGTACTTTGAGCACTTTGCTGTTCCTTGTCCTCAAAAGGTGACACCTGCAGAGGGTAGAGGTTTGGTTCTGCATCTTACCTGAGTGCTTTCATCCTCCAGCAGGTCCTCAGCACCAGAATGGGACCAGAGCCTTCATACCTTGACTTGTCTCAATTAGCTGAGCATATATGATGCCACAGTTTGCTTTCCAGGTAAATGGTTTTACTTACTTATGCAAAAAATAATTATGCTGTCCTCATCACTTTGGAGGGAAAGTTTGTATTCACCATCACTTAGCCCAAGTGTTGTTCACATTTTCTTATATAAACAGGTTTTTATCTTCAAGTTATCAATAGCCTGAATTTTTCAGATGCTCTTATCTTATTGACCTTCACCAGACACATAAGCTACCTTTTAGTTTAAATATTGGAAGAATGATTCTTGTCAAAATGTTGCCAGAGTGCTCACTGACTGCCCAGGCTAGCACTGTCCTGGTTTCACTTTGAAAGGCCCTCTGTCCTGATGCTTGGGTCATGTACCTCAGTGCTCTTTGTCAATTTTAGCATGGATTTTGCATTCTCATTGACCTGCCAGCAGGTATTTCCATCCTTTAGTAGCAGCCAAGGCACTGTTCTTCTCAGGCTCACACACAAGCCCCAATCCCCACACCCATTTCTCATAGGTAGGCTGAGCAGCCACCTTAATTTTCTTTTTCCAGAAGAGCATGGCTCAAAGTTGATGGAATATGGAAGTAACTTGAAGATCAGTGGAAGTCATATATTATCTCTACTTCTTTTCTTTGTTACTTAATATTCATAGATGATTTGCATCTACCTAATAAGCACAAAGAAGTACTACTGGGGAAAAAAAGGAGATTGAAACATGCAGCTGATGTAAAAGTCTGGAAATAAATAGTCAGAAACTGGGCTCATGTGTATATGGTGTATAAAAGTGGCATGTGAAAATAGGATTTATAAATCCCATTAGCTCTTGAGAAGCAGATCTTTTGGGGTTGCACTTTCCATTGCAAATTTCATTTTTTATGTATACAAATCACAAAAAGATATTTTCAAGTGCCTCAAGCGAGAAAGCAGCCTTAGGTTCAAGAGCTGCAGACCACTTGTGGTTTTCAGAAGTCTAAATTATCCATTCAGTGTCTAATGAAGATTTGGAATAACAAACTCTGACAAACAATTTGATCTATGCAATATGTGGAAACTCTTTCACAAATCCTCCTTCCACTGATACAAAAAAATTAAAGAAAAAGTCATAACACGCTGGGATATCATTTTCAGTTTGCCATAAATCTGGATCTAATAATGTATTGGGATTTCTTTTTTTTTTTTTTTTTTCCTTTAATTGACACTCTCAAAATTAAAAGGAAAAAGGTGTGACTTGTCTGAACCACCAACTGGTGAAAGGCAGAAGAGATCAGCACTTTGCACAGGTGTGATGTTATCTGCTGTAATTACTGACAAATAGAAGGGGAAGAATGGAATGCCCCTGGTTCAGTGATGGAACTTCCTGCTAGGGTGTCTGCAACCATGCCCAAACCAGGGGAAGGACAGAGATAAGAAGCTCCTTTGTGTGCAGAAAGGATCTGCAAAGGAGAATTTTCAGGTCACATACCATAAGGCTGTCCCTGCCTATGGTAAAACACACATCAACTCTCTAAATACTACTTTTCCAAACAAGGAGTTGCCACTGGCTCAGGATTATTCTGTGTCTGCTAGAGAGAATTATCTCTAATAACATGTTTCTACTTTAAAAATTAATTTCTACAGCTGCCTATGAGAAAAGCATGATCACACTACAGTTTCATGGAGGAGAAGAATGTGGTACTGGAAAAAACCAAGAAGAACTCAGGGGTAACACTCAAAAGGCAAATGTGTTACAGGAAACTTAGTAAGGGAGGGTTATGTCACAAAACCCCCCATGTTAGTAAATATTTTTAAAATTATTATTTTGATATTTAAATATTGTAATTGTTTTAGAATAGTTATGCCTACAAGTACTTATTTAATATATTGGTATCCCTATTAACACACATATATTAAATACATGTATAAATAAATATGTCACTGTTATTTTTTACTTTCTATTTTTACAATATTTTACGTATTTAGAATCTAAACACATATAATAGAAGAATGAACAGAGTATTTAGAGTATTTAAACTGACCGGTACCGTTATTGATCTGCTTCACATTCTGTAAATAATATTTAATTTTTAAAAAACAACAACAACAGTTCAGAATGAATAAATATTAAGGACAAAAAGAGGGACTGAAATCTGATTAAATTGTGGATTTGTATTTTGTCACCTGAAGGAAGGGGAATCACACAGTACACTGGTCTGATGTGCATTGTAGCACATTTCAAATACCTGTTTGTGACAATAAAGAAACTGCCTGGTCTTGGACCAAAGGATGTATAAGCAGAGCAATATTGCATGAGCAGAAAGAATATGCTCTTTCTGTACAGGTTATTAATACCACCTCTGCAGGAATAAAACAACTTGCTCTAGAGCTAAAATTCTTTTGTACTATTCTTTGCTCAAAAGAGTTTAAGAAAAAATTTAAAATGTCAGGAAAAAGATATAAAATTTAATCTGTTTGCTTGTTGCAGTTGAGGTTAAGAGGTAACTTGATCATGGTCCACAGGTATGTGAATATGAAAGGAATTTGACTACTTAGGGAGAAAAGTTCACACAGAGAAAAAAAACCAAACATCTCTGGTGGTTTAATGATAAACTATCACATCTCTATTTCCTGACAAACTGGAAGTTAGAGAACTTCTGCAACTTAGCCTGTAATTTACTGATATAGATGTGAAGCAATTCTGAAATCCTATTCTTATCTCATGATTGTTCAAATATTAAGTTGCTAAACTAATGACATCAAGAATAATGTGAACAGGAACATCCAAGTATAAAAATAATTTATCTCTCCAGCTTAAAGCAGAGTCTCCAAAGTCTGTCCTTTAATTCTCGGTCTTGTTCAAACGTAAGTCAGGTTCATTTCTGGACTAAGCTAAGCTATCATTCTTCTAGATGAATTGTTTCACTATACCTCCTATACCTGCATTTCAGGGATTCATGAGAAGCATTGGAGGCCAGGAGAAATGTTAGTACAGAAAAGCACAAGAAAATTTGTAAACTTCATCAAGTAGCATTTTCAGAAATACGTTTGGGTCATAAAGAGCTCTTGTTTACAGTCTTTTTTGGAACTGTGTACTCAAATCATACAGATGAAAATCTGGGTTTGTTTATTCTCCTGCAGGCTGGTGGCTGAATAGAAGTCCCCAGAGACATGTTAGTAGATTCTGTAACAACTGGATAAAGAAGAAATGCAAGTGTGTTCTCTATCTGGTATCTCATTTATATGGAAATGGGATTACTTACATACATTTAACTCTCCCTGGTACCAACATCTTTCCCATGATCAACCCATCACTCTCTCTTCTTGGCACAAGAAGTCAAGCAACTTTAAAACCTATAGCTGTTAATATAGCTCTAAAAATTTGTTGCCAAAATGTACTAGTATAGATCCTAAATGTGACATGTACTTCATCTTAGTCAGATGGATGGAAAATAAAACCAAGCAACCCAAAAACTTATTGTAGGTTGTTTTTATTAAATGTAAATTGCACATCTCTGATGGGCAAGGTCTGCCAGAGAGGTTTTTTTGTCATATAGAAACTACAGCCTCATTGAATGTATATTTTAAGATGTTTTATGCGCAAATTATCCTTTATGCAGGTCTGCAGCAGTCAGTTTGTGATTATTTGTGGCCAGGATGATTTCTCTACAGATTTTCTTAAAGTACAGATTATCAGCCTAGTCTCTTGTGGAAGTTCTTCCTATGCATGACACATTTTCAGTCACATACATATGATCTGAGTCTAATTAAATACCTGATATCTGAACTTCTGTGAAAAGTGTCTCCCTGATGGTTCTTGCTGTCTTTCACTTACAATCATGTGAACTTAAAAGGAATTGGCTTTTTCTCTCTCTTTGGTATCATACAATTTATATTCGTTTCTTGCAGAATGATTATCTGCAGAATTGATGTGATTGCTCTGAAAATTGCACCTAGCTCATGAAAGCTGCAATTGATTTTAAAATGCTGACTATTCTCACTCACTGTGATCTCTGATCAGGCTTGAATACACTGAACTTTGTCTAAATTTGCAAGGCATCTCTGTAAAAGTGTTTCACTAATGGGAAGCTACAGTTATCATTTGCATATTTAATCTGTGACCTGCCCATGATATCACTTTGGATCTTGTATAGAAATTAATGGGAATTGCTTTGAGAGAATAAGAAACTTCCTAAGAGTCTCTGCAGACCTTCATGCAGCTGGTGAAGATAGGTCTGAGTTGTATTAGCACCCACAGTGCACAAATAAATACCGTTCAGATAAAGTGTTTCTGCACAAACTGGCTCTAATCTCCACCAGAGGCAATCATTGCCTGCCAAATTTCAGATCTTCAGCCTCCTTTGTCCTACTCTTGCCTCTAGCATCAGCAGCTGTATACACCTGTGGGAGAGCAAAACCTAACAGTCTAAGCCACCTGAATCCTGAGTCCTGAAGAATCTTGAGGAGTTTTGCAGAAGATCTCAAGCCAAGACAAACTAGTTCAATGTAACTGTGTGATGTCTTGTAGAGAAACCTAACCAACAGAGTGAAGTCTGTGTGCCAGGAATCCCTGTGAAATCTTATTTTTTATCTTGCACTTCAGGACCCTGAATTGGGGGCAAGGGAGTAATCAAAAACCTATTGACTGGACTCACTACTCATCACAGCCTTGACCAAAACCTCCTGCCAAGCCTAGCTTCCCTATCAGTGTGTGGCAAAACAACACCTCGGTGCTTTAGCTTTGCTTCATGCAAGGTGCCTCTGCCCAGGGAGGCAAAGATTTAGAGTCAGGTAAGCATTGTTAAAGGGAGAGATGTGGTTTTAAAGCCCAGGAAGAGTGGATTCCACCCTCTGCCTCAGGGGATGTGTCCTGTGAGCCTGGGAAGAGTTGTCCCACCCAGGGCCCTCTTGGGGTGGCAGTCCAGGGTGTTCTGGTTGGGTTTGTGCCCCTGAGGTTTCTCCCTTGCTCTGTCCCAATTAGTGCCCAACCTTAAACTCCACCCTGGCTCTGCTTCATAAAACCCCCACCCTGCCTTTGTTCTGGGCTCTGTCTCTGATTTAAGCTGAATAAATGGTTTCCTGAGCTTTAAACAGGATTTTTTTTCCTGAGATTAAACAAGAATTCAACAAGAGACGGGTCTTGTTGAATTCTCATGCTGGTCACCAGCAACTGTAGCCTCCCTGGACATGATCCTGCAGTCCCTGGAACAGAACGCTAAGGCTTCTCTGGTAAATTTGATGCTGCAGTTGTTTCCTTAGCTGAAAATACAGCAAGTGCTGTTCTGCTGTACCTGGAATTTCTACTCTAGTGAGTTGCACTGTTATTTCAGAGTGCAAACGTGCAGCATTATGTTGGTTGTTGCCTTCTTGCTGGTTGTACATTTTCTAGGGTATTTTTGGGGTTTTTTTGGCCATTACCTTTACAAAAGTCAAAATAGCTTTTTCTCACACTCCTTTCAGAGCTTGCCATGGCTTTGTTGCGGTAGCCATCCACGTGAATATTCTCTTTGCAGAGTCTATGATCCTTTTCTTGCCAGCCCTAAACAGCTACAAACTGTTAGCAATGGGCCTTCTGTTGTTTGGTACAATCAAATCCCAGCTGAGCTTGTAATGGAATGGATGTATCTGGAAAATTCTCTCTCCTTTAGTGAAAATTAGAGTTGAAGTGTCCAGTCTTGTGCATAAATTTGCAGCAGAGGGGCTCAAACATTATAATGTTACTTTCTCTTGCAGGTAGGTAACATGGGAGGTCATCCTCCAGAAATATGGGGTAGTTCAGACAGGCTGATGATATGTGGACATTCAGAGAATCAAAACTACTGCTGCAGTGTTACACTTTGGTTATACTTTTCTCTTAAGATTATCAAACATGCAGTGAATGGACAACCAAGATACTGCATGAACTTGAAATAAAAGAAAACAACTTATATACTACATCAATTGCTAGAAAGACTAATTGCTAGCAATACAAGTGGCCCTCATGGTGAATTTTCACCTTCTGAAACAAAAAAAATATTGACAGCCAAATATCTGTAAAGATTTCTGTTAATATTACATATAAAATTTTATTCAAGAATCACGTAGCTTTAGCAGAAATTTTTTTTTTATAAAGGTGCTTATTGAATTAAAGTGATTGCATTTGAAATGGACTTAAAAACTGTAATATAATTTCTAGCTTTTTTGTGGACAGACAGAAGTGAAACAAATGTTGTATCTCAGATTTCTGCTTTTCCCATGAATGAATATTACTGGTAAGTATTTCACAAGTGGTAGACTGCAGTGTCTGTGGGTTTTAGAGCTCTATCCCTTTGCTAGACCATTCTTCAGCAGCATAGACTTTGGACAGTTAACTTAGTTTCATCAGCAGTAAAACAGTTAAGCTAGTCTTGCCTGAAATTTTCAGTGATTTGAAACAGAGGACTGTTGTGCTACAAAAAAATATTCCATAAATCTATTGTGATTATTACAAAAATAATGTTGTCAGTATCATAATCGTGGACTCAATATCTTTGTATTTACAGTTCATTTTTTTTTAAATGAACACTTTTTTCTGAATTAAAGCAGAATGAAAATGCTCACATTAGATACTTAGGTCCAAAGAGATAAGTAGGGACTGTGAACTCCATTTGCTAAACCAGATTTTTAGACAGCTTTCATATCTTCCTCCCTTTGCTTGTCTTTAAAATAAGATCGTTGCCTTGCATTGTCTTAAAAGATCTGTTGGTCTTGGAAATGTGAAGGATTTTATTCAGGATTGCTGGAGAATGCACAGTCTCAAAAAGACTTAGGGGAGAGCAGTACTAAAAAAAACTTACATATGGAGGCATAATCTTTCTTTGGTATTCAGGTTAAGGCTGGCCAAAAAGCTTCAAATGCAGTTTATGTTTATCCAGATGCCAGTTTGACTTACAGTTTATACAAACAAACCCACTGAAGACAGTGGAGATCAGCAGAGAGCTTTGTATGGATCAGGGGATCATGGAATAAAAGGTGGTATCTGACATGAGTTTGCCAGGTGATCACTCAGCCTGAGAATCTGTATGCCATTTGTGGTTGTACAATCTATTTCCACCGAAAATACCATTTAAATGAAAGCTACACTAAGGTGTCCATAGGCAACACAATATTGCAATTTAATGGTCTGACACAAAGTCAAGGCTTCCTGTAGGGATGGTGTTTGCTTTGCAAAAAATAATACTTTTGATTAGTAATACTATCTGAATGCTTTTTTTTTTTTTTTTTTTTTTTTTCAGCACAAAGGCTACTGATGCTGCAAAACCATCTTCAGGCATCTTCAGGGTGGTTTTTGTTCTACTGCTGGCTCCAGTCTAGATTAGAGCTTGGTGTGTTTTGGGGCAAAGCAAAATAGTTAGCAACTCTGGCAGCTCCTCCATACTGCACATACCAGTGCCTCCAAAGTGGAAATTCGTATTTCTGTGGCATTAGAGAGCTCTAAACCATTAAGCTCTATGATTTTCATGTTTACAGTATTAGCCTGATGAAACATGTGGGAGGGCAATCCCGAATACGAAGGGGCCTCTGCTCACTTTTACCCGCTGTTACCTGTTCCAGTGGGATGGAGCAGCTGGGCCACAAGGACTAGCCTGAGGTTTTGAGAGCAGTCATTGCTGTGGGCAAGCACCCTTTGCAGCTCAGTGCTCAGACAAATCCAACCGTGGATTTCATCAAATGCAGCTTACTAGTGCAAAGAGTTACAGGAGGTGACTTGTAGCCCTTCACAGTCTTCTGAGGCTGAGGCAGTGACAGAAAAAGTGTATCCCCTGCAGCATTAATCTGCTTGAGCCATGAGCTCATCTTTTCTGACTCATCTGCTGAGTGCTTTCCAGTTCCTACAACAGACACAGGAGTTGGTTTAGCAACTTGCACGGCCTTGGTTCACTCTGCAAGCAGGTTCATCCCATGATCTGAAGGAGGAAGGTCCTGGGCAGAGCACTGCCTATAAACACATGCCACCACGCACAAGAGAGTGTGCAATAAGCACACCACAGTAAAGCTGCAAGAGGAATAGTAACTCTCATCCTTCTTGATTTCCAGACATTTTTCTTTCCAACCCCTTATTATACCCTGGTGTATAATAATTTTAAGTGCAACATTTCCCCTCACCATACTGAACAGCCACTGCTACACAAGTAACCCAAAAGTTAATTAAATTGTGCTTAATCAAAAAAAAAAACCACCTCACTGTCCAGGATATGACAGTCATCTGCTTCATCTATTCTATTTCTTCCTTGGAAGACTGCAGTATCTCCAAATTTCTGCTGCTGCTTCAGAATACCATGAAGAAAGGCAATAAAATTCATCCAGGTATAATATTCTGTGCTATAGGCAGATGATTACAATTATACTTCTAAATATCTTTCTGTCTTTATACAGAACACATTAAACTCAAAATTAAGCATTATTTTCATATGATGAAAATCAATAAAAATATGGTGCAAATATGGGCTTATACTGGCATGAAATAACTGAATGAGTCACACTTTTGATAATTTTGAGATTCCTTTTGATAATACAACTTTTTAAATTTTTTCCTTCACTCCGTCACAGCTCTTTAACTTCATCCTCCCTCAGATAATGCTATTTGAGTAAAGGACTGTTTTCATGAAAGATCTTGTGACAAGGAAGAGTTATATTAAAATGACACCACTAACAGAAAGACAGCATAGTCCTCTCTTTTGCATGTGATGTTTGCAGTTCAAAACCCTTGAGTTATTTATTTACTTTGGAACTGGTTTGTTTCATGGCTTAAAAATCACAGTGTTTTGTTTTCTAATACCTTAAAATAGACAGAATAGTTTAGCTTAATGATCCATTGGAGGCTGATGAGTATTTAGTTAGACTCAAAGCTATATCCCAGCAAATTTCAGGGGAAAATGGGCTGGGATGTTCACTATTCAGAGAGAAGCTGGGATACCCTTCCAAGGAGTTTGCATGAGCCAACACTCAACTGGAATGGTCTTGAGGAAAAAAATCCATAACATTTCACAAAGTTGCAAATGGACCTGTAGAAGAGAAGTGCTGAAAAGCAGGACTCTCCTGGCAGAAGTAACCAGGATTCAGCCTAGGCAGAAGGGGGGACAATGCATAACAAAGTACTTACTGCACACATCAATTCTGATTCATCCCAGAGAAATGTGGAGAGACATTTTAACAGGTATTATTAGGATTTGTCTTGGTTTGTAGACCACAGTCCAGCCACTAGGAAGGCACTGGTTTTATTTCAGGCAGTAAGGAGAACTTGACAGGTAAGATAAAGATCATGTATACTGAAAAATAAATACTCTTATAAATCCCGGTAAGAGCAAGTAAGATTCTTTAAATGAAAATAAACTATTTTCTCAGATAAAAATCTTATCTCTATTTCCCAGGATTTCTATCTATATCAGTGTGAACACCATATTATGAATGCTCACTGAGAACCTGTCCATCCATTTTATTATTGTAAGTGAACTATAGGCATAGTGGTGTTTCTTACATACAGAAAAATACACCCCTTCTACAGTGCCTTTTTTTAGGAGAAGAGAAATTTTCACACGTATTCCAGTTCAGCAAAAATGCTGAGATAAAATATAATTCTTTAGCTTATTTTATAGAGTTCAACACAAAAGATGTTGAAGCTGGAAAATCTGAAGTCTTAGGACATAGCAAACTGTGTGAAGAAACAAATGGACACTGTAGGCTTCAGCCTTCATACCAGTTTTCAACTGGTTTCAGTATGCATGAGTTTTTAGTTGTTATGCACCTGGATTCAAATACCAAAAAGGTGCATTGAAATTGACTAAAATCTTGCACATTGCCTGTTTAGAAACAAGTAGCATGCAGGGGATTTGACATATTTGGAAGCAACAAGCAAAATCATGGCAGAAATTATAGTTTCTGTAAGATGATGTAAATGTGATTGTCAGTTTCTGAGCATTATCTTGAAAACTCTGAGGAGAAAAATATCTAAAGCAAGGACAAATAGTTACAAGTTCTCTTAAAGTTATTCCCAAGACTGTAAGGCTGCAAAATCACCTCTGCAGTGCTATTTGGCTCCATGGATAGAAGCCATGACATAGACATCTGTCATACCCACAGGTGTTCCTCCCATAAATAGAACTACTTTTTTTATTTTTTTTGACTTCTCAGCTTGCTTGTCTCTAAGCACTGATGATGACAATTTTCACTTGCCCAGATTAATACTATTGTCAGAGCACAAGTGCAAGTATTTACAGAATACAAACCACAGAAAATCATGGAGTATACTGTACTTGTAGCTTCTCCTTTGCCCCAGTTCAGGGTCTCTCTGTGTCCAAGGATCATAAACTTAAAAAAACTGATTAGCAATAGTAAAAAGGTTGATATTCCATTACTAATGCTAATTCCCAGGTTTTATGCAACTTTTTTTCAAGTTGGTAAAAATGTGTAAGTTTATCTATGTATGTATCTGTTCAAATAAATCAACCAACAGCTATGAGCAGCTCAATAGTGTTTGAGGAGGATATAGGGTATCCTACTGGCAGATCTCCTAAATCCTCCTGATGAGCCACATCAGCCTTTGCTCTATCTCTTCCAGACCTGTGTTGGAGCAGAAAGAGGCACAACAGCCCTGAGGCCACCTGGAGTGCAGCCATGAGGTCCCACAGCAGCATTCAGCACATCTGTCAGAGCCCTGCTGCTCACTTTGCAGCCAGCTGGGTGTTTGTTACCTCTTCACAGGTAATGAGGAGAGTTCTGTTTTCCTTGGTGACTTCTGCACATCCTGTGTAACATCTCTGTGTGTCTCTCCTTGCTTCCCACTATCTGACAAGCTTCTGTCCCCTGTGGCCAGCACTGCACAAAATAAGAGTGTGTAAGAAGGACTCTTGGCCTGGTCTTACAGCTTTGAGATGCGTGGGAATACTTCTGCAGAAAGTTGCAGGCAACACAAAACTAACCCCCTCTGATCACAGAATGGGTGAGGTTGGAAGGCACCTCTGGGACTGATCTAGTCACTCTGGGAATGGTCTAATCTAGTTGAGCCTCCTGCTCAACAAGGCTTTCACTAAAGCAGGTTACCCAGGACCATGTCCAGATTTGGGACAGTTTTTAAAATAAAGAAATAGTAGGCCAAAATAGTGGTCTCCAACATCTTTCAGAATAGAAGGGACAGTCTACAGAACCCCAGGAGTGTACCAGGCCATGCTCTGCAATGACACAGAGTGTCACATAAATCAAACCCCTATATTCTGGGTAGGTAACCTGTACTGACCCATGAACTCACCTGAAAATAGGATGGTTTAGTGTGCATTCTGCCCTAAAGGTCTGTTTATACAGGGAGAAAAGGCATGAAGCTCATATTTAGAAAAAATAGTGGGAAGAATTAAAGACCCTGTTTTCCACAAAGTAATTTCAGCACAGTGCAAAGACTGACTGAAATACATTGATCCTTCTCAAAGTGTAGAACACCCTTACAAAGAGCCATCATGAATGAACTGCATTGTGTCCTTTTTCTGTTGTCACAGAAATGCAAAAGAATGTCCAAGTCTTTCTGGAAATCAAAGCAGTTTTTCTATCACATTTGCATAAAAATACATGCTCCTAAGTGTTTGTACAAAAGCACCTGCAAAAAAGAAATGTGTTTTTGAAAACCTGCATCCTATGAAAAAGATACTACATGGTATTCTGGAGTGTATAGAATGGTTGAATTTTGAACTGAAATGATTGTGTTTTAGAAAAAAACACCTTTGCCTTCTTTCTTGTCATGAGACATTGCCCTGCTCTACCAAATGAAAAGACCACTTCATCCATTCTTTTCAGCATATTTCAGATATTCCTCCCATGCTTAGTTATTTTGGGGTAAGGAAGGGCTGATTTGGGGTGTTTGTTTGCATTATAAAATTGTAAAAATATCTTATTTTAGTAATATTAAATGTCAGTCAGTATGTTCTTTAATTTTGGTTGTTCTTTATAAATGAAACAGTCTGCTTTCTGTGGAAAAGAAAGATGTCTTAAATTCCAAACATCGTAAGGTTCCAAAGAATTAATCCAGGAGATAAACCAACAAATTCTTCTGAAGACATTATTGTTACTATAGAAACATGCCTACATCCAGAACTTCACTGTGAGGTAAGAAAGGAGAATTTGCTTCTTTAATCATTTTTACTCTCCTGTCTCTTGGTCGATGGGGATGATGGTAACCACAGGGCAGAAAAGCACAGAGGTAGAAACATCTCCAGCCCTGTTCCGTAAAAACAGACTGAGCAAGATGCAAGCTGCTGTTCACATGTCACTGAGAGGACCTTTCCTTCAGCCACCAGGTTGTGTGTTACAGAACCCAATGCCAAAACTCTCTTAGATATCTCCTGCTAAAAGACATCTACAATTGTGTAGTTATAGCTTCAAGATTAAAAATGTCAGCTTGTAGCCCTTGCCAACCTGCAGTGTGGTCATGCCCCTGCCTTCTTCCATCCTCATTCCAAAAAATATTTTTTTTTAATTTGATGTTTCTTTAAGCAGATTTTCATTAGCAGGTGGGTTGCGCTACTGCAGGAAGTCACTGGGGCAAGTACTGTGGCATGAATTTTTGAATTGAATGGACAATATTATTATTAAAGTTTTATCTAATATAGGAACACAGACAAAAATGTTACAAAATCCCAGGCTTTAGAGTATGGATTCTTTCCTCTGCCATTACACCACTGCTCTCTTTCAGGTTTTAATAACATTGCACGTATTCCACCTTCCCTGCTGTCATTTTCTCAAGAGCCATCGAAGGCTATCCTCTGCATAGGCAAAATGCCCCCAGGAGCCAGAGCTGGGCTGTTATTTCCCTTAGATACCATTTCAGTGATTTAGCTCCAAAACAACAGGTTATGAGTGAGTTTGTTGGCCAAACAGAGCACAGAAAGGTAAGACGTGCCTGGGGTGGCATGGAGACTTCGAGTGGTTTAACTTCTGTCTCTCTATGGCAGTGCCCAGAAGCACACCATGCCAAGATGGAATTCAATAGAGTTGGTACCCAAGGTGTTCCTTGCTGGGAGCAAAAGCTGCCTTGCTGGGATGACAGCCATGCTCTCTGGCCACTACATTCACTTGGCTGTAGTTTGTTTGATTTAGAAGTCAAGGAGGAGCTAAGACACCCAAAAATGTGCTCACTGAACTTTCCATTAAATTTCTCATGCTCCCTGCAAAGTACCACAGAAAATCTCATGTGAAGGCAGGAAAGGACCTTTATGTACAGATCCTTTGGGCTAAATTCGGAGAAGGCACTTTCAACAGCCGTTTCTGACCCAGGGACCTCCCAGATTTTCCAAGTAGCCAGGCCACATCCATGTACTCATGACTTCATTTCAAAGACAGGTACGCAGCAGCAGGTTGTGGAAGAGATCTGCACTGCACTCCATCCAGCCTGTCCCCAGCCTGGTGGTGCAGGAGGCCAGGGCTCCCCACAGACCTGTTCAGCCAAGGCACATCGCCACCCCAGTGTCACTGTACCATGAAGGGCAGCACGCTGCCCTAGAGGGAGGCAGGCTGAACTGCTGGCTCCTCTCCACACATCATGAAGAAGGTAAAATTATGCAAAATTATGCAAAAGCTGACACAATTTCAACCATAGTTAAACTTCCTTGGAAGGCTCTTTACAGGGTTTCATAGAGATTAAAGCAGTAGAATACTTAAAAAACTATTGTCAGAACTACTGAAGTTAATACAAAATACCTTCTCTACTGAGATATTTCAAGAACATCAATTTAAAATGCAATTGGAAGGATGATTTAAGTTCCCTATGGGTATTCAGAGAACTTTCTAAGGAGATCTGCCACGGAGAAAACCCATTAACTTTTATATGAGAATGTCTAGGAATCTCCCATAAATTGATTAGAATCCAAACCAGAGAGTACAAGACTTTGCCTCCTCAGAAGGAGTTTATTTCTATTCCCCCCCAGCCTTTTAGTCCTAAAATGCCTTTCACTAATGATCCTTTCTAAAACAAAGATACTAAATTTGGGGTTCTGACAAAGTCATAATTAATGGTCAAGCAATCAGACTCACATACTTGCCTCATTTTTTCTGTGTTTAATAAATATATATTTTAATATGGATAATAATTTTTATTGATGATACAGAGGTATAATGATTTTTATATTAAGAAGAAAAAAAAAAGTACTACCAAGTAATATACTCTGAAATAATGAGATAAAAAACAAAAAGAGGAATACATTAATTTGCTTCATGGGTGGTTTCATGAAAGTTAAATTTCATGCAAAGATAAAACATGAGCTTTCTAATTTGAAGTTTTTTATAGTTCTGGATTACATAGATAATTACTACAGGGGTTTGTTTTCTTTTTCCATGCAGACAGCTATGTACTATAGTCAATATTCCTAGGCTCACTGTTGACAAAATAAATGATCTACATTTTAAAATCTCTCCCTGTGAGGAATTTGCTTCAGCCCTTTAATCACTTCACAATAATTCTTTGCACTCATTTGATTTTGCAACATTCTTTAAAAAATTGGAGTAGGTAAGCACAATGCTCTATTGCAATATCAGCCTCAGCAGCCCACAGAGTTCCCCTGCCTTCTACACCCTTTTCCCCTGGGCATCAGATCAGTCCACTTTCCAATACAACAACTTTAACACCTCATAACGTATGTGGAGGTACAAGCACCCTTTTCTTTCCACAATAGCAGCCTAGAAAGAGTTAAAAGGAACCTGCCTCCTCCTCATGCCCTAATTGCCTATTAGGCAGGACTGCTCTAGAAGGAAGGTCCTCAAGACAGTCCTGGAAAGGGTGAAAAATGAGAAGGGTTCATAAGAGATCTACATGTAGGAAATGGGTAAGAGAACCCTTTGCAGGTTCACATGGGAAGGGTGAAGAATCTTATTTTAAACAAAACTCCCCATGTCCCTCATACCAACAAAAAGGAGGCCCAAAGTCCATCTGCTGGTAGGAGACTTGCTCTAATCTCATACCACTCTTGCTCTAGTATCAATGATGCTAATTTATGGTCTCTTATTTGGGGCTAGGTGGGACAGGTATCTGTGCCCCAGGCACCCTGTGCGAGAGGGAGCCTTGAAAACCCCTTACCTGGGGCTTCTGCAGGTAGCTCTGGGAAGAGGGGGATGCCTGTGCTTGTGTTGGGTAACACAAGGTGAAGGCTATTGGAGGAGGCACAGTGGGACCTCAGCTGGGAGATGTCAGCTCTGAATCCCTCTTCAGAAGCAGTGTAATTGGCAGAACTGTGCTTCAGGAAGCTGCCAGTTGCTGACAACTGATGAGCATAGAATGAATAATTACTGGTGTGGGTCCTTCAGCCTGCCCCTGCATGCAATCTCTTCTTCTGGTTTGGTCTAGTAGTCCAGAACAACTCCCTGCTTCTTCTCCTCCCAAAACTTGGGAGTTGGCACATTGGGCTCAGTGTGTGCAGAAGTGTGGTTGACTTTCCCTGTTTTGCCTGTATATAATGTACAAAATAAACTTTGCTTATTAGGGTTTTGGATATCAGGAGCACACTGGTGAGAGGTTGGGTGGTAAAAGAAATTACTCACAGCAAGTATCAGTTGAAACTAATACTTTGTTACAAAGCCCTGTTTCCTACATAATCTTATTATTGAAAGGTTCCTACACTAAATGGAATCACAACTTGAAAGCATCAAGTTTTAAAATAATCAGAATTTAACATTTTCTCAAACTGCCTTTTAAATAAATATTACATTACTTGTTTCATAGGGTTTTTTCCCTTAGTAATGAGGTTTGGGGTTTTTTAAAATATCATTAAGTGCAATCTTGCTTTCACCAAGGAGACTGTGTTTTGTCAGAAAGACAATTGTTCTTCTGGAAGTGTTAGACT